AATATCATTGAAGATTCTTAAACTTATTATTTTTTTTATTATTTTTATAATTTATTATAATGATTTTTAAGATTTTTATTACCATAATTTGTTACCTAATTTTAGTTTGTAACTTGTAAATTGTTTTAAATTCAAAATTGTACAATATACATCAGTGTAAAACCTATGAATGGTGGAAAAACCTATTCTATAATATTAAAAAAACACCCAGGTCTCCACTTTTGCATAGCCTCTTTTTTTTTTTTTACTTATCCCTCAGGTTTTTCCAAACTTTTACAAAAACTTTCCTCCTTTCCCACTGCTGTTGCAATTTCTAGCCAGGAAATATTGGTCATCTGGTTATCCTTATGATCACGCATGGATGGATCATAAAGATTACTGTACAGTCGTACCTGTTTTGGACAAAATCTCTTCAAAGTGTTTCATATTCAACTCAAATCAAACGCGGTACCACACGAACTGTTCACCCGAGTCACAAAAAATTCTGTGAGCTCCGCAAGTCAAAATCATATTGTGCGCACCCAAAGCAAACCTCCGCAAACACATTGATGACGTCACATGCGCCATGCACACTGAGTTCAATAACAGAAAGCTGATTGGCTATTGCAAGTTGGTCTCATTTGTAGTTGTAATACCGCAAATCACAACTGGACTAGTAAAATAAAAAACTACAACACAACGAAAACCAAGCAACAACAACAAAAAAGAATTTAAAAGAGCATTAGATGTAGTGTTACATGGCCATCAGAAAAATAAGACCTGTGCAAAAATATTTAAGACCTAGAACAGCAAATTCAAGACTTTTTAAGGTCTAAAATTTTTATTTTTAAATTTTAGACTTTTTTTTGTTTTGTTTTTTCTTGATCCAGACCAAACAAAGCAAATAGAACATTTCTATAGTGAACACACCCACAGTAACATTGACTTAACTGACTTGAAAACAGATCAGAATTTAAAATAAATATTGGTTCTGACTCCTTTTTTATTAAAAAATGCAATTTCACACGACTGAACAAGTAGGCAATGAAAAAGAAAAAAAGGCTAAATACTCCTCCCCGGGATGGTTTGATTCAGACAAACACAAACACAGTGGGTTTACCTTTAAGACGAGAGTTTCCTGAAGTAAACAGCGCTAAACTTTATAAAGAGCTTATTTCCCATTCAGGATTCCATCGCAGAAAAAGGGCACAACTGTCAATCAAGGATCAGTGCTTCCCAAAGAGGGTTTCCATGGCAGCGCCACAGGGAGTCCAGAAGCGGAGAGGGGATTACAATCCACAATTACACCAAATTCCTCAACTCCATTCTCTCATAATTCTATTCCGCTTTCTGCATTAAACAGCTTTGGTTTAGTTATTTTTGTTGAGCACTTTAAAGTTAAAGCGAAAGTTCACCAAATAATGAAAATTGAGTAATTACGTACCTGATGTTGTTACAAAAAATATAGCCTTATTGTTTTCAGACCACCAAAAGAAAAATAATAAAAGAAAACTCCCCCTTTAAAAAATAGGCACATTTTGCAACAGGTTTTGCCAATTTTTAATAATTCAGCAGATCTACAGGTTTGTAGATTTTCAGTGCTGCTTTTAAAGAGTAGGTGGCATAACCTGTCATATTAGCATTTTCAAAAATGATACACAAAACTAAGTCATAGTCAGGATTTCTTTCAATAATGTATTAAACCTTAGTTAGTGTCCCTTTTTTAATGTTTAAATGCCGGTCACTCTTCAAAGAAATGGATTTGTTTTATTTTTAGGTTAACTATCCCATTAACAAAAGACAACATGTGCACTATTATCATAGCTTCATATTTAAAATTCTTGAATTTATATTTTCTGTTTTTATTTATACATTTTAGGGATTGTAATTTACTGCAGTGTACTGTAATTCTAGTATTTAAACAGAAACATTTTCCATTGCATTTTCATTTAGTTCAGTGTTCCTAGGTCACGCAAGAGTAAAATAATAAAAAGAAGAAGAAAAAAAACACCAATACCAACCAACCTATTTGTATACATAATTTATACAACATTTACATTAAAGAAACAGAGCTGGACTATATTACTTCCAGAAGTAACGAATGACTTCTCTGCTTGGAGGGGAAAAAATAGGAAGAAAAGGATAAAGTAGGTTTGGGTGGTTTCAAGAAGCAAACTGTATTACAGCAAATATGGGTCAATTTTGAACTTTGATTTCAACATGAAATATTACACTTTAGATTAATATAATAAAAACTAAACTGTACTTTGAATTTTACACTAGATAACTGATGTAAGAATATTGCTATATTTCCATATCTGGCTTCACAGCTACAATATAATAAAAAGGTATGAAAATCACAGTGAAAAACATCACAGAAAAAGAATATTTCTCTCAAATCTCTTTAGGCTTTTACAATGGCACTTCCTTCTAACCCGCTGTCACTTCCTTCAGACCCAAAGGTTAATTGGCATTCAGCTCTGCATCCCAGTGCAATGCAAGAGACTTCCGCTGCTCCCTGCGGGGATCTTTTGAGTCTTGACCCTTCAGTCCTGAGCTCCTCATTAATTTATAAGCAAAGGTAATTAAGCCTATTAAAAACTGCCCACGGTGCTCACCTTTGCACATCTGGTGTCATGCGTGCTCCAAACCTATTCTCATGAAGGAAAGCAACTCTGTACACATTTACCTGTCTGAGGATGCAGAGCAAGTAGCGGGGATACAGAAGACCTGCTGAGCGCAGCTTTTTCGATTAAACCTGTTCTCCTTGGAGTAAATACATTTATCAGTGCCTAAACAGCATTTCCAGGAGTCGTGTTTGTTGAGGCGAATCAATGTGATTTTGCCACTCTACACATTTCTTTTTGGAAACCTCGTCTCAATAAATACACATAAGGTCACGAGAACAGAGAGATAAATGACTCACGGCAGGGACTAGCAGTTTCTTGACCTCCTCGACGGCCCTCTTGAGTTTGATCTCAGCACGGTTCTGAGAATCTTCCACAGTGATGAGGACGTGCAGGTCTTCGTTCAGATGTTCCCAGTTGGGCTTTCCTCGGTTTTGTTCCTCCTGTTCAGAAAAAAAATGGAAGAAATGTTTGAGAACGAGGACTGAGCTCTATTTAGAAATGAATGAAGGCATGCAAGTTCATTTATGTAAAGAAAGAAAGAAAGAAAAGAAAGAAAGAAAGAAAGAAAGAAAGAAAGAAAGATCCAAAAGAGAGGGGACAAAACGATAGCTAGACAGACAGACAGACAAACAGACAGACAGACAGACAGACAGACAGACAGACAGACAGACAGACAGACAGAAAGAACGATAAAATGATAGATGAATAGACAGACAGATAGAAAGACAGACAGGAAGATAAAAAAGATAGAATGATAGACAGAGGGCGGTTGGATGGAGAGATTGATGGATGAATGGATAGAAAGATAAAATGATGGACGGTCAGACGGATGGATGGAAAGACAGACATAACGATAAAATAATAGAAAGACAGGCAAATAGGCAGAAAGGTAGAATGATAGACAGATGATGGATGGATGGATGGATGGATGGATGGATGGATGGATGGATGGATGGATGGATGGAAAGATAAAATGACAGACAGACAGATGGACGGATAGACAAAGATAGAATGACAGGCAGACAGACAGACAGACAGACAGATAAATTGATAGATGGATAAAAAAAGGCAGATAGACAGACAGATAAAATAATACAGAAGGATGGATAGACGGAAGGATAGATGGATGGATTGAAAGATAAACAGACAGACAGACAGATAAAATAATAATAAACGGACGGACGGATGGATGGACGGACAGATGCATGGAAAGATAAACAGACATACGGACAGACAGACAGAACGAGAGACAGACAGACAGACAGACAGACAGACAGACAGATAGATGACGGACGGACGGACAGACGGACAGCAGATAGATAGATAGATAGATAGATAGATAGATAGATAGATAGATAGATAGATAGATAGATAGATAGATAGATAGATAGATAGATAGATAGATAGATAGATAGATAGATAGATAGATAGATAGATAGATAGATAGATAGATAGATAGATAGATAGATAGATAGATAGATAGATAGATAGATAGATAGAGATAGATTTGAACTCTTCAAGTTGCAACACTTCTACTAAGAAACACAAAAAAGCATTGGAGGAGTTTCTGAGCCTACACAGGATTTTAAAAAGACAAAAAGGCTAAAAATAAAAGACACGGACAGTCAGAGAGGAGACAGGAAATCATACTGAGAAAGGGGTTTGGGTGGGATTGGGAAATGACTTGTGTCGCCTGCATAAGCACCACTGGAAGACGCGTCGCTGCATGTGCTCAAACCCACCAGGCCACATTTCTAACAAGACGTGCTTCAAAAGTATTTTCCAGTAGCACTTTTAAAACTTTGAGCATACAGACCACTTCCTGTGATTATGCTAAGCTTTCATTTCCATGGAGACTTTCCCAGACTCTTATTCCAACTGTGAGAGTTACACATGGACGTAACATAAAACATCAACATTCAACATGGACGGAGACAAGTTACCGACAGTTTTTCTCCGGGTTCAGACCGCCAACAGCATTGCCAACCGGCTGCCATAGAAACAGGGTGTTCAGGCCCAAGCATTGAGCCTTATTGAATGCATTGTCTCCAGCTGGGGTTTTCATCACAGCGGGGCTTATGTTTACGACGCAGAGCTCAGGCCTACAGAACAATCAATTACTGTGAACTCGCTCGCTGCTCTCTGAGGTTCCCACTTCAAGCAATCACAGACATCACCTCGACCTCAAGGGTAAAGTTTGAACGAGAGAAACAAAGACATAGACGGCCTGGCCACATCCTTGACCGAGGGACGCCAGTCTCAGATCACAGTTGGTGGCATTGTATTTGCTAATAAGTGGCTGCCACAATCTCAAAATAGAGTAATTAGATGATCAAATATGTGCATCCGATAAGGCTGCAGTCTTGCTGGTTATGGGCTAATAATAACTGTGATTTTGATTTTTGACAAAGTCTAAGCAGCAGCACAATGCATAGAGGTCTACTTCTGGCCTACTTTTGGTGGTAGGTAGTTTTGTGCACAACGCAGCAATGTGTAATAAAAAGTTGCACTTAAGTACAACAGCTATAGATCAACAGCGAACGTTAAAGGCCAATATTACACATGCTATAAATTACAGAAAGTTCACAATAACGGGGCTTTAGCAAGCTTGCTTAGATGTTCACTACCTGACAAAAGTCTTGCCCTGTCAAGTTTTAGCAACAACAAATAATAACTTGACTTCTAGTTGATCATTTGGAATCAGACATGGCTTATATGAAAGGTAAAGGCCTCTAGGTTACACTTAATTTACCAAAATAAAACATGATCATGCCTTGATTTTTAATTATTTAATTAAGACAGTAAGATCTAAACTTTGCTTAGACAAAAATAATCTACAGTACAGTATATAAACTCATGGTGCAGTGGAAAACTAATGAATATTGTGTATGACTCACATGTGCTTAAAGGATTGCATTCATACATCTCTGCAATGACTCAAATAACTTATTACATTTTTTCTCAGTCGCTTTGGTGCATTTCTCACAACACTATTTACATTTGCCCAACAGTTAATGCATTTCTCAAAACAATTAGTCATTTGTGCACATCCTAGTAGCAGTTTCTCATTCCTTCCAACAAATTGCAGATGCTTTTGGACATGCATCAATTGCTTTCCTACAACTCTCTGCTGTTTATAACATTATCATTTGCATATGTCATGTCAGTCAAAATTAACTAAACTTGTAAATGCTGAATAGTCATTCCATATAAAACTAACAGTCCTCATTTCATTAATTGAGTCATTACATACAAAGATGTTGAACTAGTTGTCAAAATCTGTCTAGCAAATTTTATTTAAAAAAAAAAATACAATTTTTATTTTCCTGAAACTGTCTTCTAAATTGAACAATGTCATGAATAATTTACAGCCCTGTGTATGTTGTAGGTTCAGTTCTAATATGTACTGCAATATTTTTGACAGTTGTGCACAGCTCTACCTAAAGTTTGTTTGTTGTAAAAAGGGTGTATTTATTCTTCTGCACAATGCTGTGAATAAATTAGAATTGCAAAGAGAAAATGCAGTAAAAATGTGAAACAAACATAATCTGTCTTGCACTCAGATACCTCACTAAATGCAGTGATGTCTAACATATATAGTATATAGTGCTGGATGGATGGATGGATGGATGGATGGATGGATGGATGGATGGATGGATGGATGGATGGATGGATGGATGGATGGATGGATGGATGGATGGATGGATGGATGGATGGATGGATGGATGGATGGATAGAACGATAGACAGACAGACAGATAGACAGACTGACAGATAGACAGACTGACAGATAGACAGATAGATAGATGGATAGAACGAGATAGATAGATAGATAGATAGATAGATAGATAGATAGATAGATAGATAGATAGATAGATAGATAGATAGATAGATAGATAGATAGATAGATAGATAGATAGATAGATAGATAGATAGATAGATAGATAGATAGATAGATAGAACGACAGACAGACAGACAGACAGACAGACAGACAGACAGACAGACAGACAGACAGACAGACAGACAGACAGACAGACAGACAGACAGACAGACAGACAGACAGACAGACAGATAGATAGATAGATAGATAGATAGATAGATAGATAGATAGATAGATAGATAGATAGATAGATAGATAGATAGATAGATAGATAGATAGATAGATAGATAGATAGATAGATAGATAGATAGATAGAACGATAGAATGATAGAACGATAGACAGACAGACAGACAGACAGACAGACAGACAGACAGACAGACAGACAGACAGACAGACAGACAGACAGACAGACAGATAGATAGATAGATAGATAGATAGATAGATAGATAGATAGATAGATAGATAGATAGATAGATAGATAGATAGATAGATAGATAGATAGATAGATAGATAGATAGATAGATAGATAGATAGATCTAATGCTTTAATTATGGCAAACACCTTTCACAGTTTATCAGAATAACCTTACTGTGCATTCATTTCAGGAAATGTGACAGTAAATCTAATTTAGTGAAAGAGAACAGATGCAGATGGCTTCTCCATTTGACTCCTGACTTGTTTGCCCCTGGCTGTAAATTTCCTTATTTTTCTCCCGTCCTCGATTGCCATCATTTTTCATGACATTTATGCAGACATTTCTCTCTGCTGTCAAAGTAGCTTCAGCGAAACAGAAAATAACTCTGCAGAACACCACAGGCCTTGATGCCTTCACAATCCAACATTCGTTGTTAGCGCAATACTCAAAACACTTTTCACAGATTTAATTTTGACATGCTATTACGACAACAGCTTTCCGCACAACCCTACTGGCGGCTGTCAGAAGACAATTATGTCAAACTTGAGGAAACAGCTGAGGTTTTTATAGTCTGCTCTGCACTTCCTAGATGTGCAACACCTCGTCTGGCTAAGAATGCTGAGCCACCAGTCTGCTTTACAGTTTAAACCAACAAAACAGCCTCTGATGTGTTAGATATAGGTTGTGCAATCCACCAAGTGTGGTGCTTTACCCGAAGCATCTCAGGTTATTGTGTTCCATTAATTCCCCATTAATCTGAATCTCATCAATGGCTCAAACACAATATTTCACTATATGCTTTTATTGTTTTATCTGCACATTTGTGTAGGCAGTGGAAGAAGTTACACAGCGTAGAATAAACTCAGATGGAATAGATTCAAAAGTCTGAAAGGGAAAATAACGTAGTTTTTAGGTGATTTTTATTATGCAAAAAGGAGATGAGTTGATGATCTGACTTGGTGTGTGGGAGTAAGAAACAGATCTGACTTTAAGACTGTATAATGTAGCAAACAGAATTACATACACAATCTTTGAAATGCACAGATGTCATTAAAACACAAGATTTATCAGCATTATCTTTTTTGCTCCTGTTATTTGTTGGTTTAAAGAGCTGTATTTTTGTAGCATGCCTAAATTGCACTCTAAAAGTCTAAAAACTTTGGCAAAATTGAATGGGATAAACCACTGCATGAAAGTGAAAAAGTATTCCTTGAGCTTGAAAAACAGAGCATTCTCCTTTCTCTAATAACACTCATTTTCATTTTAATGCGGGCCATTTTTCCTCTGTGTCAGGCAGCCTTGGAGGCAGACAGATCTTCTGCCTCTCTGCTACAATTGGGAAGGCCATGCAGACTCGGGCTGGAATTCCATTAAAGTGGAATTGCCTGGATTTTGTCTCCTTCCATTTGGCATCTATTAGTTATGCAATGGCACAAAGGTAGTATATGGACTTCTGCATTGAAGAATATGCAGCAAGACTGAGTGCACAAGCCCTTACCATTTAAGAGAGAGAGAGAGAGAGAGAGAGGGAGAGAGAGAGAGAGAGAGAGAGCAAGAATAGATATATGGACGAGGAAATGGACAAATACATTTTAAATAGCAAAAGAAAACAAAAGTTAAAAAGGCAGAGAAATATAAAGACAAAAGAAAACTGATAAGACAGTGCATACAATGAAAGAAAGAGGGAGAGTAAGAAAAAGGGAGAGAGAAACAGAGAGAGAGAGGAAGAGAAAGAAAAAGAGAAAAAGGGAAAAAGAAAGAAAGAACAAAAGAATGAACAAACGAAAGAAAGAACAAAAGAATGAACAAACGAAAGAAAGAAAGAACAAAAGAATGAACAACCGAAAGAAAGAAAGAACAAAAGAATGAACGAACGAAAGAAAGAACAAAAGAATGAACAAAAGAATGAACAAACAAAAGAAAGAAAGAACAAAAGAATGAACAAACTAAAGAAAGAAAGAACAAAAGAATGAACAAAAGAATGAACAAACAAAAGAAAGAAAGAACAAAAGAATGAACAAACGAAAGAAAGAAGGAACAAAAGAATGAACGAACGAAAGAAAGAAAGAACAAATGAATGAAGAGGCAAAAGAAAGAACAAACAAACAAACAATTAAATGAAAGAAAAATACAAAGTTAAAAGAATGAACAAACAAGCAAAAGAAAGAAAGAAAGAAAGAAAGAAAGAAAGAAAGAAAGAAAGAAAAGAACAAATAAAAGAAAAATGAACAGGCAAAAGAAGAAAAGAAAAAAACTAAAAGAACAAACGAAAAGAAAGAAGAAAGAACGAGCGAGCAAGCGAGCGGACAAAAGAAAGAACGAGCGAAAGAACAAAAGAACAAACATAAGGAATAACAAGCGAGCAAACGAAAAAGGAAAGGAGAAAGAGAAAAACGAATGAATGAACAAACAAAACAAAGAACGAATGAATGTATGAATGAAAAAGAACGAACGAGTGAGCGAATGAATGAGTGAATGAACGAACAAACAAACATGAATGAACGAACAAACGAACAAAAGAAAGAAAGAACGAATAAATGAACAAATGAAAGAATGAAAAAGCGAGCGAGCAAATGAATGAGCGAACAAACAAACAAAAGAAAGAAAGAAAGAAAGAATGAACAAACGAACAAAGAAAGAAAGAAAAAAAGAAAGTAAAAACAATGAACAAACGAAAAAATAAATAAAGAAAAAACAATTAATGAATAAAAGAATGAAAGAATGAAAGAATTAAAGAACGAACACAAGAAAGAAAGAGTGAATGAGCAAAAAACGAATGAACAAAAGATAGAAAAAGAAAAAAAAGAAAAGAATACAATGAAAAAAGAAAGAAAGAAAGAAAGAAAGAAAGAAATTAAAATAAAAAACAAAGGAGAGCAGTAACCAAAACTGTAAACGACAAAAGAAAATGTACAGTAAAAAGAGGTGAAAAAGAAAAAGAAGCAAACAAAAAAGGAAAACAGAAAAAAAGATGTCACCTTCTTCTTGTCTCTCATAGAGCCCTTCCCTCGCACCATGATTTTGCAGCCCGTCTCAGCCTCCAGTTGCTTTGCTGTCAGGCCCCGGGGCCCCAGGATTCTCCCCACAAAATTGAACTGTGAAGAAACATCAAACAACAGAGAAAACAAGTGAGTGCTTTCAGTGAAAAACATCTGCGCTTCACACGTCTGGTATGAACATTCCCATGCTGAAGATCTTGAATGCATCTCAGAACCTTTGAGCCGCACTCTCAACAATGATACACTTTAATCAATGTTTACATTTTATATGCATTAGTTCGATAACAATTTAGGCTCACACAGTTGATGTTATTGTATTTACTACACTGTAAAAATGGAGGGTTCCACACAATTCATTCATGTTAACCCAACAGAAATCGATTAAGTTAACTTTTTGTTTTTTCGAATTTAAGTTGATTGAACATAAAACTATTATGTTGTCCCAATACAAACCTCCAGAATTGTGTTGTTTTAGCTCATTTTAAATCATTTGTTTGAACAAGCATATAATTTTTGAATGTAATATGAACTAAGAATATTGGGTCTCATTAATTTATAATTTTATAAGTTTACATATTTTTCATATTTATACACAAATTTAAACTTCTCACAAAAACATTCAGCCTAATTCACTATGCATGCGTACTAGAGTTTGGATTCTCTGGGTCGGGCCAACATTTCCAGGCCATGATCAAGCATTTGTGTGTGTTTTTTAGTCATTACCTAATTAGCCTAATTGAGTGGAAAGCTATGCCATAATTGAAATTATTATTAGAATATTTTAGCAACACATGTTTGGGCCTACAATGTTGGAGAATTCCCAACATGTGTCATGTGCAGCAATGCTCTATAGCTCCTGCAACAGTAGCTATGTTTCAATCCAAAAATGTAAATGAACTTCATGCGCAAAACTGGATTATCTCATAAAAGATGTGCGAATAAAGCTGCGTTTCCATCCAACGAGTCAAAGCAAACAAAATCGTCACTTCCTGATTAACTGGCGCCAAATATCAACAGTAAAAACTGAATTTGCTGCAGTAGGAGAAGCTGCATCAATCTTTTCTTCAGCTAATAAATGACTTGCGCCTCAGAAGGGTATCCTGACACGCAGTGAACCCGCGGTGGTGTTTGAAGGTGTCAGACGCGGAGCACAGATGCTCTTGATTCTGGAGGTCATTAATAATTTAATAACACTAATATTTAAACGGTAAGGCATTTTATAATGACCAAAACAACAGTTCAGATGGTTTACAGTGTGCTCAGCCGGCTGGTTTGTCCATTTACACAAATTTTCATTATCACATGGTCTCTTTTAACAAAATCACATGACTTTTTTTAATGCGAATACTGAAATTAATGCGGTAAAAGTGTTTCCATCGTAGTTTATGCTCATCTAAAAAGTTTATTCTACTCAGTTATGCACATAAGTTTTTTATGTGCATTTTCAAAATTGATGCGCATCATGGCGTTTCCATTAACGCTTTTGCGCGCACTCACTCTCTTTTCGTGACGGTGCTGCACGCATCAGTTCCCCACATTCGTCAAAAGTTAACCCCCAAATTGACACAGGTAATGAAAGATTCAGTCATGTTGTGAAAAACATGATCAAAATGTCCACTGTTGATTATATTACACTTTTGTTTTCAATACGTATATTAAAAGTTTTAAAATCGCAAGTCCTCGGCTACACATGGTTATTCTAAATCAGAAATTGAGTGTTCATAGGTTTACGTTAGGAAATGCAGTGTTTAATTTAAAAGCAGTTTGCAAGTACCGGAGAACAGATGTAACACATTGATCAAATGTAGGGCTCTATTTTGACGGTCCATGCGCAGAGCGCAAAACACAGGGCGCAAATGATTTCAGGGCGTGTCAGGATGCGTTTTTGCTAATTTAAGGACGGGAAATCTGCCTTGCGCCGCAGCGCATGTTCTTAAAGGGTTGAGTTCATTTTCTTAATGAGTTATAGGTGTGTTTTGAGAATAAACCAATTAGAATCTCATCCCCCATTCCCTTTAAGAGTTCGCTGCGTCGCGCCAAGAGCGCATTCGCTATTTAAAGGATGCAAAGTAAGTCTAAGTGGAAAAAATTAGCATTTCACAAGCAAACAGTTAACAGTTAACAGTTTTTTAACAGAAAACTGTTAAACAGAGCATCTACTGCGTGACAATGAGAGAAAATGGATCACTTTCACTTTTGGATATGGAAACCTTTACGCACAGACATCAATTAGTCTATAAATAAATAATTTTGTTTGTTAAGCGCAAATATTTGTTTCAAAACTATTTCTAAATTCCGTTCTAATTTCCAGCAAACGAAAAAATGAATAATAATAGCAAAATGTGCTCAAAAACCTGAGTTATATCCTAAAACACATGCTGTGCCCCATATGGTCTAAAACCTGACAGGTGGGCAAATCTAAGCTTGTTTTTAATAAAACAAATATAAATATGGATATAATAAATAATACTGCTAATAATAATAACATTATACAAAAGCAAATTGTTATGAATGAACTGAAAAAGCCTCCCGAGATGAAGAAGACATAAAAGCAGTGATTTTTCATATTTATGTAGGCTAGAAAATAATGTTTTGTAATATTTTAATTCTTTATATTTATATTCTCTATATATTCTTATTATATCCTATATATATCCTTAATATTTACATTTTTTCATATGTAAAGATATTTGCCTATTGCTCTCTTGTGCGTATTAAGCAGTGCGTAAGCGAGGCGCAACTCTGCGTCGGAGTTTAGACCGGTTTAGTTTTTGTCTAATGAAAAATCTATTATAGTTTCTCAAAATAGCAACGCGCCAGCGGTCCGCCTCAGAATGCCTTCCTTTTTAGACCAGAACGCCTATGGCCGCAAAAATGAGCGCTAATTCATTTGCTATTTAAACAGCGTAGCGCAATGCCTCAAAACGACTCTTGCGCCAAGCTGAAACTACCAAAAGACTACTGCGCCACGCCTTGCGCCACACTGCGCCGGGTGTATGATAGGGCCCGTAGTTTTCAGTCACGCTCATGTAAAAGTAATATTCAACTCGTTTAGTACGCCTTAATTTGTTTTTGATTTCAGTAGTGACAAAGCACGAGTCTTCAAACACATGATTTTTTTACAACACGTTTTTAAACATAATAGTTTAACTAATAAGTCTAACTTCTAATAACTTTTTTATCTTTCCCATAGTGACAATGAGTGCATAATATTTAGTATTTATTTTGCAAGACAGTTGTATTCAGACAAAGTCCCTTTAAGTATTTTATACTCTTTGATTCAGATTAAAGTGTAATTATAAAACTTACCTTAACTAGGAAAGTTGGAATAATTAGTCAAGTTACTGTATAACTGGTTTGTTGTGTAGACAATCAAAAATACACCGTTAATATTTCTTAAGGAGGCTAATAATACTGACCTTAAAATGTTCTTTTATATATTAAAAACTGCTTTTATTCAAGACAAACTATAAGAAATAAGACTTACTGTATTATGACTCCAGAAGAATTATTCTTGTTTTATAGAAAATACTGTGAACATTTCCTTGGTTTGTCAAAGATCATTTGGAAAACATTATTTTAAATTAATGGGGGGGCTAAAACGGAATTCAAAGCAGACAGAAACTAACACAGCAGATGGAGTATACACTAACCTGCACATTATTCAGTCACAAGATGGCATCAAACAATCAAAAATGCAAAGCTGATAGAACTGAAACTGGCTAAAAAAAAGCATACACTGATCTATTTATTATTCATTCACAAGACAATGACAAACAGTCAAAATCTGTGGCATGACAGACAAGCAGATAGACTTAGATCTGGATGCAAGTTTATGATTCGAATGTATTCACTGACGTTCAAGGTGATTAGAAGTTTCTGGATGAGCCTGTGTTATTTAGCGGTTGTTATCTAAGAATAACATACCATGGGATGTCATAACTGACCAATTGGAATCAAGTATTCCAGACAGCCATGTAATTACATTAGTTTATGCACTGTTCGTTAACATGAACTACCAATGAACAACTTCTCATTTTCACTTACTGCCATTAACAAACATGCATAAATACTGTAATGTGCCGTTGATTACTTATTTCAAGTTAATAAATACACTTACATTAAATATGTGACCCTTATTGTAAGAAAATGATCATAATTTTTAATAATTTTAATAATTTTTCTGCTGAAAAGAGCATTTAAAAGTGTCCAGCATAGAACGGCAGTGGCAGAGTCACATCCTCAAGGTTAAAAACACAGATCGTCATCCCCTTTGCTAATGGTTCTCCCATATGGAAGCTTTGGCAGAGCTCGACGTAAACTGCAGCATGGTAAAATAATTGTATAATTCAATCAGAGGGGCTCTGTAAACCCTGGCAGAATGTGTGGAATGTCTAATCCCCCTTTATTGAAAGGGGAACATCTAGAGACCAAATGCAGATTTGGAATGTACCATGTGCTACGAGGGAAGCCTTAACCACACTCCACCCTGTTTTCCTGCCCTAACTCAAGTCACATGTAGTCTAACAAATGGGTCAAAAAGTCATACAAACACAAATACCCACTGTATTTAACAGCCAGAGCAATTTGGAAATGGTACAGGATATATGTTTTAGTCTAAAACAAATTCCTATTTTAATTGACGTTTTTTCTATGTTAAAATTAATTTTTATAAACTATTTACTTAAAAATGGGTCTATAAACAAGCAACAATATGTTCATTTGGTATTATGTTGTAATACATAATAAATAAATACACTAGCAACATAATAATAAATACATAAACAAAATAATACGCTAACTAATAAAAAGCAATGCATTTGTTACAGAATTTATTTAGCTTTTTTTTTTTTGAGAAAATGATATGTGGTCATGATAACTGACATTTTCTTTATTTGTTGTGATTAAAAATTGTTTTTAATCCACCAAATACTGCTTTCTTAAGATACAATTTCTGATAAGACTACTGAAGTTAAAACATGTAGTAATATATTGGGTGGATTTAGCTATTCTGTTTTCTAAAAATTCATATGAACATGGCACTTCTTTTGTTATTTTATGGCAGTAAATTTGCTCTTTGCTTTTTGAATTAGAAA